GGCTCACCGCCCAGGTGAGTGCAGGTGACTCGTTCCTCTCCCCCTTTTGCTATAAAAACCCACTTGGGGAAGAGTTTAAGGGTTAGCCGAATTTTATTTTGAGTGGGGGAGGTGCTGCCATTTTTGCTTCTTGTTTCTTCATTCTGTGTGTGCGTGTTTGAGGCATTGTGAAGGCAAGGCCTTGCCTTCTCTTGGATAAAAGCTTGAAGGAGGAGGGCCGAAATTTAGGAGGAGAAGGGAGGTGCTGCCAGATTGCTTCTAGACCTATTCTTGTTTTTCTTGTGTGCTCTATACCAAGAGGTAACCTTTCTTCCTTGATCTTGCTAGTCTTTTGATCCCCTCGCATGGTTACTCTATATTCTGGCTTGGCTGCTCGATATACCTGCTCTATTTCTTGATGTTTTTGTTGAATTGCTAGAAGGTTTAATTTCTTAAGCATGAAATGCGGAGCATGTGTAACATTGGGTGGTATATATACGTGAAATTTCTTGCTGGCATTTTTATTTTCTCAACTGCTATGGATGGTAACACCACTCTTCTAGTCTTGGAAGATTCACATGCATACTACATGACTACTATGTATTTACATATTTAACGCCCAGGTATTTGGTATTTAAACTTATCACGCTTTTAGGATAATAAATCTATGCAAGAGGAGTGGTGACTTTGGATTTGTGAATCGAGATTTGAAGTGAATCGAGATTTGAATGTTGAATACATGTATGTGAAAATAAAATATTTGGGTTTTAGATACGTAAAATCATAACCTTCTGGTGGTATGTATACACTCTGTTGCTATCTCACTTCACTGATTTGGGTTATTTGAGTAGCAGTTTTACTTGAATAACTGCAGTATTTATTTATTTATTTTTTGTGAAATCTGAAATATTTGGGTGCTCTTTTTGCAAAATATGAAAACTCTTGGGTGGTTCATTTGTGAAATTTGAAATATTTGGATGTTCTTTTTGCAAAATATGAAACTCTTGGGTGGCTCATTTGTGAAATTCTGAAACTTTGGGTGGCTCATTTGTAGAATATGAAACTTTGGGTGGCTCATTTGTGGAATTCTGAAACTTTGAGTGGCTCATTTGTGAAATTTTGAAACTTTGGGTGGGAGAATAGAGAAGGAATGATAGCTTGATCCCTATTTGTGAAATATGAAAAATTTTTGGTGGCATGTTTGCAAAAAAAATCTGGAATATTCGGGTGTCACGTGTGATGATTTTATAAATTTTAGAAGACTTGCCTTGCTTATAAAAGAAATTTGAAAAGTTATTTTCCCCCTTCATTATGTTGATTCATTCTCATATATGTTGAAAGTAAAAGAGAGATTCTCCCGTTTTCATCTCTAGCTACTCTCTCGCTCGAACTGCATGTGGAATGCCATGTTTATTTCTCCCCTGTGAAAGCTAAATATATATGTATATATATATGTGCATGTGTGTGAGCTCGGTTTTGGCCCTATGTTGGGATCAATTTTAGCTTCTTGTGGTTGTTCTCTTGGCTCAAACTCTGTACCATGTGAAAATTTAATGTTGTGGACCTTTTGAAGACCTATTTTGAGGCCTTGGTTTAACTCCACGCTGCGGCTTACCTTCGGGAAATGCATATAGTATGAGATATTGATTTGGAGCTTGATTTTGGCTCGTTGTGGTTGCTATCGCTACCCGTGAGTCTGAGATGTGAGTTGCCCTTGTGGTCTTCTTCTTGCTTCCTTCGTCGTGAGCCTCATCTTGTGATTTCCCTTTGAGGTAAGTTGGGTTGGTGGTTGTTCATCTCTGTTACTCCTGGCCGTGAGCCTCACTTGTTGTTCATTGGGTTTGCCTCAGCCGTGAGTTTCCTCCCCTT